CTAACAGTCCTGACCGTCACGCTGTGTGAAGGAGAGACTGGGCTATCCACATGGACATATCCTCTGTTTCCTCCATGGGTCTTTAATCTCTCCCAAGAGTCTACTGCCCTCTGGTACCCTGTGGATGGTCATAGTACTCAAGTTTCAATTACCCAAGAGTTAACAACTGCTGGAGGAAAGGACCAGCTTGAAGTCAGACTGTGGATGGGCTGTGCCCACACTACTGGTTTAAGAGAGTCCTCTTCATGCCCCAATTTTTCTGTCTGTAATATGAAGGCAATGTGATACAGTCTGAGACTCACTCCAATTCTAACCTTCTAAAACAGTCTTCACCCTCTCTGAGGATGCTCCACTTCACAGATCATCTTCACAGTCCCCAGTCAAATGGAGATGAACACATTGGCTGATGTAGGCAGAGGCTCCTCCTTAACCCAGTGAGTTTCAACCTTGCTCAGACCTCTCTACCTACGCATGAGGGACAGCCTTCATCCTCAGGCTCCCCGATGCCCCCGTTACCTCCTCTCATGTGTCACCTTATTCTGCCTCATGGGACAGTTGTTTCCATCACTGCCCGTGCATCAATAGGCTAAGATCTCCTCCAGGGAACGATGAGGCTTTATTGCACCGTCTCTGTCCTGACAAACAGCAGATGAGTGGGAGTTGACTGAATTGAAATGTCATGGAAAATGAAGTCCATGGGGACCAAGAGCCCAAGACACAAGCCTTTGCTGTGTGACCGTGAAGCTGCATCAACCATGAAAGGCCACAAGAAAGACTAGCTTGAGTGCTGTCAGTGAACACAGAGCACAAGACCTGGGGAGCTAGGTGACTAGGCTGAGGACAGAAAGAGTAGCAGAGATGGGCGAATGTGATCTGGGCTTTGGGAGAAGAGGAACAATGAGGTGGGACAAACTTGTACTTTGTGAAATGACCATGAAGCACCCCGGGATGCTGCTCTGCCCCTCCCTTCTGGCCCTCAGAAGCACCGAGGAGGTCTGGCTCTATCTTTACTCCTTTATTTTCTGTCTCTGAGAAGATCATTTGCCCTGCTTTGAGTCTGACTGTATCCCCAGCCTTGGTAGGCTGCATCTCCTACACAGGTCCCTGGAGGCTAGAAACATGAGACATTTCTTAGGGACTGGCTAGAAAACACCCATATGCTTAGGTTGGCTACACATTTGGCCTGCAGGATAGTCTCATCATTAGTTATCAGTCCTTATGTGTGTACGAAAACAGACTCTGTCTGGGTCTTCCAAACTTGGTTTCTTTTTCTACCTTTCTTATTATTCCAATCAAATAGTCTGAAATGCCCCCTCTTCCTGTCCCTTCCTTGTTCTAGATAAGTTTAACCAACGCTTCTGAATGTTGCTGATGAGACGGTATTTTTGTGTGTCGAAGAGTCTGGCATGGTCAGTGTCTTCTGTCTGTGGTCACACCCCATGTTTGTTCTAGAGATTCCAGACAACCTGGAAAGACTGACGTGAAGACTCCACTGTCTGGAGGTGCCCACCACCAAGTGCAGTGAGTTCCTATTCACAAGCCCTTGCTAGCGAGTGTGAACATTGCATCCTCCCTCTCAGGTCCCCCCCCCTCTCACACACACACCTCTGTCACCATCTTTGGTGTACCACTTCCCCTCCAGCATGCACCCCACTTCTCAGCTCCAACTCCCTCCTCTGTCTCCCGTGATGTCACTGCTGGGGGAAGACAATCTGTGAGGAACTCCTTACTTTCGGTCAACTTAAGTTTCCTTCTTGATGCCATGACATCAGCCTTACTCAGGAAATTCCGTTTTCCTCCCAGCACCCTCACCTCTGTCCTAGGCCTCAGAGTCCCTATAAAGAGGGGTTCCCAACTCCGATCAGCACAACACTCAGGCAGCTTCTAAAGCTTCTGGGCTCTGCACTCTAAGCTCTGTGCAAACTTCCCCTGCCTCAGCAGCACCATGAAGCTCTGTGTGTCTGCCCTCTCTCTCCTCCTGTTCGTGGCTGCCTTCTGTGATCCAGCGCTCTCAGCACCAAGTAAGTCGGCTCTTCCATTGCTGCTTCGAGACCCAGTGGGTTCAGTTTTCCAACTTGGGCCAGCCCAACAGTGGGGGTTAGGCAGGAGGACAAAAGGGAGCTGGGAAGATTCTCAAGTCTGCTATTAAACACAGGGACTACTAGACATCCATTAATATGTAAGCTCCTGTTTCCTTAAGAATTGACAGCCAATAGAGGAAAATGGTGGGCTGGAAGCCAGATGATGAATTAGCCTCCTCTCTGGTTTTTAAGCTTGCCTGTCTCTGTGCCTTGATTTCCCCACCTGTAACATGAAGAGATTGAGAGGTGTTCTGAGACTCAATACAGTTTCAGTCTTCTAGAAATTTTTCCCTTCTTTGAGGACCGTCTTTTTAGAGTAAAAGTCCCACTCTGGGTGGAAGGCCATACCTTCAAGAGACCATGTTTTGGGTTCTAGTAGTCCATAGGGCTGCTCAGTGAAGATCTAGAACGAATAGCGCCAGTCGCAGGTTTGACCTTTCCCTCGCTTTTTCTTCCAGTGGGCTCTGACCCTCCCACTTCTTGCTGCTTTTCTTACACCTCTTGGAAGCTTCCTCGAAAGTTTGTGACAGATTACTATGAGACCAGCAGCCTTTGCTCCAAGCCGGCTGTGGTGTAAGTATACACAGGGTGAGGGCAAGACTCAAAAAGGGCCAGGCGCATCTAACAGAAGGGATCCGGTTCTAAGGGTCTGAGCTGGGCCAAAGAACAGTGAGGTCATGAGGTCACTTTTTGCATTCTTCTAGTGGCTGGATGGTCATTAAAATGGGGGGGGGCTATAGGAGAGGGAGATGTCCTGAGGCTATGAAACCAGAAACAGTCACAATGATGCATACTGTATGTAGAAAGGCCATTTCAAGGAGCAATGAAAAATTGGAAAACATAAGCCATATTGATCATAAAGCCCATCATTTGCTAATATAGGGAACCCCTGGGGGTCACAGCTACACACCCAGGGGTCAGAGTTACAGGAAGTCTAGTGTCAGAGTTTTCCATGAAGGATCCCATCTACCATGGTTGCCCATGTAAACAAAGCTCAAGCAGAGTGAGATACCTACCACAGGCAAAGGATGGTGGTAGATGTCCTCTAAGGTCCTGTGGGATTCTCATCAGTTCTCTCCTTCTTCTACAGATTCCTGACCAGAAGAGACAAGCAAATCTGCGCTGACCCCAGCGAGCCTTGGGTCAATGAGTATGTGAATGACTTGGAGTTGAACTGAGCTGTAAAAGGAGCCTTCAGGGAGGGCCCCCTGAGCCCTAACTCTTCTCATTGACAAGTTCCCTGCTCTTTCCATTTGGAATTCCTGTCCCACTTCTTAATTTAAACCTTTATATAGACTCTGTTATATTTTAGGTGTTATTTCTACTATTTATATTTAGTTAAAGGACATGTGTCTCCCATGGGGATGGTCCACCATTACTGTTTCTCTGCTATTGTGGATATGATCATGTAATTGATTTCATGCATTTTCATAATAAACTTTCTTTAAAACATAGTTTGTGGTTTTTAAATTGATTTTCATTTGGGTCAAAACTGCCTGGTGCTATTGGGGATAAGCTACAGTTTGCAAAAGCAGTGAGAATGAGTAAATACTGAGTCCTTAACATATCCATTTGGCTACACAAACTCAACACATTCTCTCAATGCTTCTAATGAGAATGTTAACACCTGTATGAGGATGGGGACTGGTGCCTCCAGTTTTACAAATTAAGAAACAGAGACACAGAGAGATGGGGTTTTCTGAGGCTTGGAGATTTGCTTGTGAAGCATCACGAAAGAATGATCCAGAATGATGATGCTGATCCCAAGGGGTATTAGATTGTCATTCCAGGTGGAAACTGTGAATGGGACCACAAAGGGGGTGTGGTTCAGTCAGAAAGGGGACTTCATTGTCTTATTATCACTGTGACATTAGAAAAGTCGCATTACCTTACTAGGATCCTTAACTTAAGCTCCGTTGCATGGCACCTTCCTAGCAATCCTGGCCTATAGGAGAGTGATGGTCAGGGAAGTCTGGGTAGCTAGGTTATAGTGTAGATTCAGAGATGCACAGTTCCATTCGGAGTGGATGGGACAAGAGAAAGAACAGATGGTCCTCAGAACTGAGACAAGGTACAGGCTACTGGTAGAAGACTGAACAATGGCTTCCCAATATGAACACATCCTAAGCCCTAGAACCTGTCATTGTTACCACACATGGAAAATGGGATTCTGCAGATAGGACTAAGTTAAGGATCCTAGGGTGAAGACCCAGTCAGGCCCCCAATGTAGCCATGCACCCTGATAGGGGAGGCAGAAGGAAGCTGGAAGACGGGAGAGTAGTACACAAGGTGACAACTGAAGAAAATGCCATGCTGTTGCTTCTGAGGGGCAACGGAGGCCATGAACCAATAGTTGGAGTGATGACTCCGAGGTCAAGAAGACTTGCTGCTCTTGCAGGGGACCTGGATTTTATTCCCAGCACCCAGATGACAGCTCATGGTCATATGTTTTCAGGGAATCCAATGCCTTCTTCTCTTCAGGCCTCCACAGGTAGCAGGCACCATATATGGTGCATATACATACATGCAAGCAAACACAGAATGTTTATTTTTAATCTTAAAAAATAATGTAGATCTAGAAGCTGAAAATGGTAAGAAATGGTTTCTCCCCCAGGCTGGTAAAACTAAGTTTGGACTTTTGCCCCCTGCCCCCGAAGTTTAAGGGATTAAATGTGTGGTTTTTGTTGTTGTTTGTTTTTGTTTTTGTTTTTGTTTTTGTTGTTGTTGTCGAGACAGGGTTTCTCTGTGTAGCTTTGGAGCCTATCCTGGCACTCTGGAACTCGCTCTGGAGACCAGGCTGGCTTGGAACTCACAGAGATCCACCTGCCTCTGCCTCCTGAGTGCTGGGATTAAAGGGTGCACCACCAACGCCCGGCAAAAGTGTTTTGTTTTAAGACACCAAGATCACCATGATTTGTTACAGCAGTAATAGGAAACTGGTGCGACTGACACCCGAAGTCACTCACTGACAGTGGTGACCCCTACAGGTGCAGAAAAGAATGGAACATGCTAGAAAGTAAGCCAAGCATCCCTGAAGGGTAAGGTAAGGCAGACGTACTCCAAAGAGGCAGACTATAGGGAGATAAGGCTCTGTTTCAACAGTTGAAGATGAAGGTTGGGTTTTCCCCGAAGGTACCTGGCCCTCAAAGAAAACATCTCTTAAGATTCCTGTGGCATGCTGGGAATCTTGAATTCTTTTTTTTTTTTAATTCTTATCTAGAAAAGAATCCACCTTCTCATTTGTCAGCTGAGGCCTAGAGTAGAGGCATGGCCTGTTTGTGTTTGCATTATTGCTGAGAGAGCAGAGTTGGGACCAGAATCAGGATCTCCTCCTTCATAATTAGTTCTTGTTGCCATATGTCCCTAGCCTGGGCAAACTGGGAGGGAGGAGGTCAGTTCCTCCAAGGCAGGATTGCAAAATTTCTGGGACAGTTCTGTGAAGAAAGGCTTCACCAGGAACAACAAAGACAGCCTGTGGGGCAATGTGGGACTCCACCTGTTGCATCATGTAAAACTTAGGTCTCTCCCTTCTCCTCTTGGTGTGTGACCTCCTTTTTAGTCTACTATGCGATATCTTAGCTTCTTGCTTGGCTTTTCATGTAGACTTTCTCCAGGTTTCTGGGTGTGTAGTAGAGCCTAAAGAGAGGAGGCAGAGCAAGGGAAGGGACCTGTGGCTTCAAGAGCAACACCTACATGCTAGCTTGTGCTGTTCCCTTCCCTTCAGAGTCTTCCTCCCACATTCTCTTTCCAATAAGTTTGGGGTGCAGGTGTTCCTTTGATATGGTGTGGGATACTCTGGGTATATTCCTATGATACGGTGTGGGATACTCTGGGTATATTCCTATGATACGGTGCGGGATACTCTGGGTATATTCCTATGATACGGTGCGGGATACTCTGGGTATATTCCTATGATATGGTGCAGGATACTCTGGGTATATGCCCAGCATCAAAATAGCTTGGTCACATAGTAGTTCTATTTTTTTTTTTTAAGATTTCAAACTGATTTCTACAATACCTGTATTAATTGACAACCCCACCAACAGTGAATAAAGGATCCTTTCTCTCCAGGATCCTTTCTCTCCAGATTCTCCCTTGTGTGAGGTACACACACACACACACACACACACACACACACACACACACACCCCGTAGGCCTTTTTATCCCTTTACTTTGTGTTTTTAGATCCAGGAGTTTTCTAGACTCAGTTCATCTGCAAATAGAGACATTTTGACTTCTTCTCTTCTTATTGTCTCTTTTAAGTGTTTTTCTAATTGCTATAGCTAAGATTTAAGAGATATATTGAATAAGAAAGAGGAGAGTTGGCATCCTTGTCTTGTTCTTGGTTTTAGAGGGAATGCTCTCAGTTTGTCACCACTTCATATAATGTTGGCTATAGGTTTGTTGTGTATAGCCTTATTCTTCTGAGGTGTGTTCAATCTATTCGTAAAGTCGCTGGAATGTTTTATAATGAAGGCATGTTGAACTTTGCCAAATGCCTTTTCGGGTCAATTGAAATAACTATGTACTTCACTGTGGCTCATGAGGGAAATTGGTTTGTACTTTTATTGGGTAGTATCATTACCTGATTTGGGTATCAGATTAATATTGGCTTCGTATAAGAAGTTTGGTGGTGTTCCTCCATTTATATCTAGTGATAAAATTAAGAAGAATTTGCATAAGACCTTCTGTGAAAGTTTACTAGAATTCAGCAGTGAATGTCTGATCCTACAGCCTTTCTTTGGAGAATTTTGATAGCTGTTTCAATCTAATTTCTTATAATGGGTCTGTTTGGGTTACTTATGTCTTTGGGGCTTAATTTTGGTATATGACATGTATTGACTTTTTTTTTTACTTTAGCCATTAGGACTGGAAAAGAGAAGGAGACCCACATGCTTATCTGGGGCAGCTTGCCCTGGGAAGGTACTAGAAACCACACCCCTACCCAGTGCCTTGTGGCACCATTACGTGACAATACTTTATGGCTTGGACGTTGTGATATAAAAGCGCATCATAATATACCATGGAATTGGTTACTTTTTATGAAGAGGCATAAGTCTATTGAAGAGCCTTCCCTAGAATTTCATGGAAGAAGTATTTGTAAGGATACCCTCTACTGATGTGCCATAATGTTCACTACGTATATGCCTAAAAATAAACCAGTTTCACTTCTGAGATGAAAAAGAAAGAAATTCTTCTAGTTCTTCTGGGCTATCCAGCTTTTCAGAATATAAGTTTTCATAGTAATTTCTAATAATAATCTGAATTCATTGGAGTCAGTTGCACTGACACTTCTTTGATTGCTACATTTACTAATTTATATCATCTCCCTTTTTCTTTTTGTCAGATTAACTAAGAGTTTGTCAATCTTACTATCCTTTTCAAAGAATCAACTATTTATTTAATTGGTGTTGAGTATTGTGTATTGTTCTTTTAATCTGATTCATTAATTTCTCCATTAATCTTGATTATTTCTTGCTGTCTACTGTGGTTGGGACTGGCTTGTTTTTCAGGAGTCTTGGGATGTGTCATTAGATTATTTATTTGGTGTCTCTTAGATTTTTTAACACAGGCACTTCCTGTTATAACCTTTCGTCTTAGCACTACCTTGGCTGAATCCCAGAGGTTCTAATAGAATATGTTTTCATCTCCATTTGTCTCTAAGAATTTTTAAATTTCTTCTCTGACGTCTTGGATAACCACTGTTCATTCAAAAATATATTGTTTACTCTCCAAGTAGCTTCTCTTATTGTTGATTTCCAGTTTTATTGCATTACGGTCTGATCAGAGACAAAGATTTATCTCAACTTTTTGTATTTCTTGAGGCTTAACTTCTGTCTTGTGATGCAGTCAATGTTAGAAAGGGTTGCATGCACTGCTAAGAAAATTCTATTCCTTCTCTGTTGGGTGCAAATATATATCAAATAAATGTTAAGTCCAGTTCACTCATAGTAAATTGTGTTGGGCATGGTTGTTTCTTTTCAAGGTCTAGTCTGTTTGTTTGCAGTTCTGATGGAGTTCACATTTTGATGTGTTTGCATGAAGAAAGGCTGTCTTCCTTCGTCTCTGTAAAGTATCCTACTAGGAACTTTCTGCAGTTGTTATGGGTTGCCTTAATTTGTATTTGTCTCCATAAATCTTGAAAGATAGCTTGGGAAAGAGCTTATAATAATGGAC